TTTTATTTGTAGGTAAAAAGAGAATTATAGGTGTGGGGTTTTTTCCTTTGTATTTTTTTTTTTTTTCCTGGTGCTGGGGATCGTGTTTGCTTAAGGCTCAAGCCATAAAGTTGAAAGGTCTCTCTGGCTTTGGTTTAATTGCAAATTGTACCAGTCTCCCAATAGGGGAGAGCACTTCCTCCTGTCTGGGCTCCACCGGGTCTCTCCTGGTTCTCCTTCTCCTTCAATCCCCAGGATTCTCTTTCTCCGACTGCATCCTACCTGTTGATGTGGCTCTGGGTTCAGTCTTCATTTAACTACAGAAGCCCTTTGGAAGTGATCTAATCCATGTCCCTAATCTTACCACCCTTTTAAATTCTCTCAAAGTGTAGTTACCTATGGAGCACACTAGGCCTAACCCATTCTCTTCTTTGTCCACCCACCACCCACATTGTATTCTTTTCTCCTTATCTTTCTCTCGGCACCACTGCCCACCAGACTATGCAGGTGAGAAATCTGGGTATCATTTTGGACATCCTCCAGCTACATCCAGTAAGYCTTGAGACTTTCTCATTGATTTCTCCTCAATTACTTTCAAATGCATCCCTTGGATATTGCTTTGATTAATCATGGCCCTCACTACCTGTCCCCTGGACCATGGGCAGCAAATGATCTCTGGTCTCCAACCAAAGTCCCTGTCAGTGGGAATCCCCAACCTCCCCCTCACTATAGCCAAAATCTCCATAAAACCTGTTCTAGATCCTTGGTAGTGGCAGAATAAGAGCATAAAAGACCCTACACATTTCTCCTACTAATTTTTTTTCATCCACCTCTCCCACCTCACACTCCAGTATTTAAAATTCCTTGCATTAAATTGCTTTCAGTCTAAGCATGAAGACATCATGCTATTTTATGCCTCTCTGCCTTGATAAACATGTGCCTCTGCTTCATTTGCCTTGCTGACTTCTGATTCTTAGTTTTCAAAGTAATTAGACTTGCTTAGACTTTTAGGGATCCACCTTCTTTGTGGTGTTTTCCTTTGTGTCAAGGGCTCATCTGTACTCTTGCTTTACTGTCATAATATTGTATTGATTTGCTCATAGGAGTGTCTCCCTCCTGCACTGTCTGATCTGTGAGGCCAGCAAAATGCCAAGCATGTAGTGTTTAAGATGTGTATGACTTCTTGACTATTTAAATTACATTAAAATATGTCATCATCATTATTGCCCCCTTTCCTGCCCCAGGGTATCAGCTTGGCACAGGACCTCTCTTCCTCCCAAATCCGATGAACAGTAACTTCCATGGCCATATCCACACCATAAAGCCACTCCCCACCATTCAGGTTTGTGTTTTAACGTTGAAAGGCACAGCTGTCCTTCAGGAAGCACTTTATGATTTGCTGTCCTAGATGGCCATGGCTATTCATTTTCATTTATCTAAATGGTATCATATTCCACTTTAGAAACTTAAGCAAATAAAAATGTGCCTCCCAATTGCTACATGTAATCTTGGAGATCAACCATTGGAGATTTTCATCTGGGAAATTTGAAGGTGATAAGTAAGCAACAAAGGTTGGGAGAAGTAGTCTCAGTTAATCCTTTCAGAATTGCCATAGCCTCAAGCAAGAGCTAGATAACTTTTTTTTTTT